CCCCCCCCCCACGTCTCTCCCTGTCGAGAGCAGGCGGATCCCCAGGCCCTTGCGGTCGTGGATGGCGAGGTTAGACTACGCCCCGTAAACACACAGGCGATGACGCCGACGATGCTGCCGCACGGCCTCTCCCCCGATGGCCTTGCGGAGCGTTTCTCCAGGCAGGACGTCTTGTCTCGGGCGGAGGCGGAGCAGCTGCTTCGGCAGGTGCGGGTGTTTTTCAGGTAGCATGTACTATGAACAACATGTTGGTGAAATCGAGAGCGAAGCATGAAATTGAGAGCGAGAGACAAAAAAATTAAATTTCGGGTCCAGACGCCTCTTGCCATTTCTTGGGAAGTAGGGGGCGGGCTCTTCCAAGAAGCGGCGCAAATTGAAGGTCTCATCAGCAGCGTCACGAGCATATGCGTGTCATCGTCATCGGATGCTGCAGCTAGGAGCTAGACAAGTTGCTAGATTTCCCCAGATTGGCTATTCCTGCCTCAAACTGTTGCAGGGCGGTTTGGCCTCGGGCGGTGGGCTCTGCTGTAGCTTCTGCTCGCCGCTGTAACTCCACATCGAGAGACTCCCATAGGATGACCGGGTATCTGCTTCTAGCTACGGGCTGGCCCTTCAATTCAAGCTACACAGCAAGCTCCACCTCTCAGCAGTAGTCCAGCTGCAGCGCATCGCGCAATCGCGCTCTCAATCAGATGCTTCGCTCTCAATTTCACCAATATGCTGTTTATGATGGTATGTATGTCATGTAATGTTATGGTGCGTATTTCATGTATGATGATGGTATGTATCTCATGGAGTATGATGGTGTGAATCTATGCCAGGTTCGATGCGTTCGGCCCTGTTGGGCGATGTCTCAGGGGGGGCTCCGTGAGCGTTATTGGTCGAGGAGGGTGGTGTTTGTCATAAGTGTTGGTGTTGAGCTTGGCGTGTGAAGACGTTGTTGTTGTGGCTGATGTTGTGGTCTCGGGGGTCTGGAAGGAGTTACGCTGCATCAGGTAGGTTCATGCCACGCTCAACCAATGAGTTTCATGTCATGCTCAACCAACGAGTCTCATGCCATGCTAAACCGACGAGTCTCATCTCATGCTCAACCAAAGAGTTTCACGTCGTGCCAACGAGTCTTACGGCATGTCCAATCAACGAGTGGCGTGTCATGCTCAATCAGAGGAGTCTCATTTCATGTCATGCTCAGCCAAGACGTCTCGTGTGCTGCTCCGGATGCATGCGGTTTGTGTGCAGGGCACGGAAGTCCTCGACAAGGAGGACAACGTGCTTGAGCTCGAAGGCGAGACTGTCGTCGTGGGGGACTTGCACGGACAGTTCTTCGACCTTCTCACCCTGCTCAAGACATACGGGGAGGTACGATGTTGTCCATGTTGTTGTTTTGATTCTGTTTGTTTGTTGTTGTCGTGGTTGTTATTGCTGCTTCTGCTGCTGTTGTCGTTTCTGTTTTGTTATCGTTGTTGTCGTTGTTGTGCTGGTGGTGTTCGTTGTCCGGATGTTGTAGTGCATGGAGTGTTGGCATATGTACAACCCCTTAGAACGACTTTGGTTCTCAGGCCCGATTGTTCCACAAGCAGGAGTAGGAGTGCTGCCAACCCCGAAAAAGGCGACCTTGGAAAACACGTCGCCACGAGATTGTTCCTTGCGCGTATCGGTCGGGTTATCGCACCCTCTTGGTGGTCGAGCAATCGATCTCCGATACATGACGGTGGAGCAATTGACCTTCGACTACGTCGGTTGAGCAATCGATCGCACTTCCACGGTGCCCAGCTTCCGACCTTGTCACACGAAACATGTGTAGACGGTGTGCAACATAGGCGTCTCTTTCTTGTCATGGCAGTGTGAAACTTACGGATTGCTGAACTGCTGCTTTGCGCGCTCCACCCCTTCTGCCTCGTGTGTCTGTGCGCGTTGTTGACATTCATCTGCACATTGCAAAAGCGTCCCAATCACTACATTCGTACTGGTCCGACTATTTATCGCAGATTCCTATCTACCGTGTTATCATTACCGTTCTGGTCGGAATATAGCGTGATTGGGCGAATGTTCCGTATATGTCAGAACAGAGGGGCAAGCTTTTTTTATGCGATGTTTGTTATTCCGTGTCTTGTTGTCCTGCTTCTCGTTGATGGGCGCTGCCTGCGGCGCGTAGCCTCCCGAAAGGCAGTACCTTTTCCTCGGGGACTACGTGGACAGGGGTTTGTACTCCTGCGAGGTGGCGTTGTACCTGATCTCCCTTAAGCTGGCGTTTCCGAGGGAGGTGCACCTTATCAGGGGGAACCACGAGACGGCCAATCAGACGGCGGCTTGCGGCTTCAAGGTGTGTGCGTGTGCGTGCATGTGTGTGTGTGTTTTCTTATCGTGGAGTGTTCCGGATAGCTGTTGCGGCGTTCTTGGCTCAAAACACGTTGTAGTGGCGAACTGGGAAATTCGGGGTATTTGCCAAAACTTGGGCCTGTGACCTGTCTGGAACGCTGCTGTTGTGGGTGTTGCATCGTGTCGCATTTGCATGTTTTGAGAAAGCATGATATGCGTATGTAACTTGGGATTAGTTTCCGGGTGCACTTCGGGCGGTGGGATGTCTCTGGTACCACCCACACGGTGTGACTATACAGTAGCGTGTGTGTGGTGCAGTGCTCCCGAAGGCAACCCACGCTAAAGGAGAGTGTGCCGGTGTGCATCCATTCCAACGAACACCTGCCCCATCCCCCCCCTCC